CCGTATGGCTATGATCTGGATGAGGAGGATGAACCTGCCTACTGTTTTCTTGCCCCTGCACCAGAGGAACCAGCTAGCATGGAGGAGGCATTAGCTGGACCAGATAGGGAGAAGTGGCTGGTTTCCAGGGATGCTGATTACCAGAGCCTGCTAGGGAATGGGACATGGGAGCTGGTGGTGCTGCCGGAGGGGAAGATAGCCGTAAAGTGCAAGTGGGTGCTAAGGATCAAGACCGATGACAAGGGACAGGTCACCATCTACAAGAGTAGGCTGGTGGCTAAGGGGTTTATGCAGAAGGAGAAGCGGGACTTCAATGAGATCTTTGCTCCCACTGCCAAACCCCCTATCCTTCGTGTCTTGTTGGCAGATGCAACCGTTAGTGGGAAATTCATCATTCAGATGGATATATCAACGGCATTCCTCAACGGGATTTTAGAGAAGGAGGTGTTCATGACACAACCACCTGGGTATGAGGATGGTACGGGCAGGGTGTGCAAGCTGAAAAAGTCCATCTACGGCTTGAAGCAGGCGCCACGCTGCTGGTACCAGAAGTTGGCAGCTGTTTTAGAGGAGATGGGATTCAGGACCAGCAGCTGTGATGAGAGCCTCTTTCTCAAGGGGGGGGGGGAGAAGCTGGTGCTGTTTCTGGTCTATGTGGACGACATTCTTCTCTTTAGCAGCAGCATGAAGGAGATCTAGAAGATGCAGCAGCAGCTGATGGAGAACTTCAAGTGCAAGAACCTTGGGGAGGTAAAGTACTACCTCGGGATGCACGTGGAGAGGGATCTGGATCACAGGTGGTTGAAGCTGCACCAGGAGAAGTTCATTTAGGAGCTTGGGGAGAAGTACGGAATTGAGAATGAGCGCAAGGTTGCAACTCTCCTGCCAGCAGAATTCAAGCTTGTGAAAGCTGCAGAGGATGAAGGGGTTGAAGCCGAGGAGCAGCAGCAATTTCAGTCCTTGGTGGGCAGCCTCTTGTATGCAGCAGTTCACACAAGGCCCGACATCTCTTTCTCGGTTGGGCAGCTGGCTAGGGTGGTGCAGAATCCATCAGAAGAACAGGTCGATGCAGCTGAACGTGTGGTGAAGTATCTAAACTCTCACCCAAGCGTTGGAGTTCAATACTCCGCATCTGCACAGGTGAAGCAGAAAGGGGTTGAGGTGCTGAAAGAGAAGGGGTTGAGGCTTGGAGAAGGCAAGCTTTTTCTCACTTGCTTTACCGATGCTACGTGGGCCTCTGTGAAGGAGGATTCCTCATCTGTGGGAGGATACATCTGCGTAGTTGGGGGAGGACCGGTTAGTTGGAGGTCAAAGAAGCAGACGGAGACAGCACTCTCGTCCGTGGAGTCAGAGTACATGGCAATGTTTCATGGGGTGAAGGAGGTGATTTGGCTGAGGAGGCTATTGGAGGAGATTGGCCAGGAGCAAAAGGTTGCTACGCCACTGTTTTGTGATAGCAAGGGAGCTCTTGGGATGGCCAGGAACGCTGTGCTTCATGGGCTCAATAAGCACATGCGTATCAAGTGGCATTGGCTGCGTAAGGAGGTGAAGAGGGGGACGGTGAATCCGATCTACATCAAGACTCACCAGCAGCCAGCAGACTTCCTCACCAAGAAGCTTGCGGATGAGCCTCATTGGCGTTATGTGCGCATGAGTGGAATGAGCATGAACTAGTATGGAATGATGGGGATGCAGCCGGCAGGCTGAGGGGGAGTGTGTTGGGTGCAAATTCACATTGCACGACATCCTGCCGTCTGTTTGTATGAGTATGCGTGTGCGAATGCATTTGGGTGTGAATGGAATGTTGGTGTGTTTGTTTGCTTTCGCAATTTTCGCTTGAAGCATTTGCAGGTACTCGCGCATTATGCGCTTCGGCACAACATTGTACGCGCTATAAACAGTACAGGTAGAAAGGACGAGCTCGCAAAGGAACCCAAGATGGAAGCTTTGCGGTTTGGTTGAATTGATTGTGCAGATTCAGTTCTATCCAACTCGAAATTGTACTGTTTTGTTTGGTTGACTATAGTGTAGCAGGACAGGTACTATAGAGGTACAATTTAGGTGAAGGTTGGATGTTGTTTGTCTGTATCTGCATGCTACAGGGCCAGGGGAAACCAGCGGAACCAGCATTTGGCTGGTTGGGCAAAGACAAAACAGGTTCTGTTTTTAGGACCTGAACCTGGTTGTTGTTTTCCCAGGTTGGAAAAACAGAACCAGAGGTTGTTTACCAACCTACCACCTGCTGTTTTGTCCAGCCAGGTTGGTTCTGTTGCTTGGAATTATTTGGGATCATCCCTGGTTGTTCCCAGATTGATTCCCAAGGTCCTTGCTAGCTAGGACTATATATTTCTTCTCTGTTTGTACCTGAATATAGTGAAATTGATTCAAGCAAATTCCTCCCTTCCTGGAATTACGTTTCTACGCGGTGCGACGGCGGAATGCTACCCGAGTCAACGCTAGTACGCTAGCACTCCAACGCTAGGCTAACGTTGTCCGAGCCATAACTTCGTAATGGCAAAACTTTTCGCGAGGCAACTTGGCTTATTTTAAAGCTCTTAGAGTGAGCTTCGATATAGGAAATTCTCAGCTTAATCCGATCGACGGTCTGCACGATACGCTGCGCGACGTTCAAGGTACTCTTGCTGTTTTGACTAAGTCCTTCTTGATCCCTCTCTCTACAAACTCGGACCCGAGGATAGGGGCTGGTCTTGTACCAGGCACCCAAGGACCCTTGGAGGTGACCCCGAGGAGAGGTATTTAAGTGTGATAAAGTCTTAATAGCTTGAGTTTATTAGGCCCTTACACCAACATCAACCTCCGGCAGCAGGTGCATGACGTGGTGACGCTGGTTCAGCTCCAAACTCTGCGACATCCAGTAGTAGCCAGCCGAGGCGCGCTCGTCCCAATCTTCCTGAAGGGCGGGGTCACTCGGTCTAGGCTCCTCCCCAATTATTAGTTTCAGCAATCCGATCTGACGGAAATAAAGTTGCATTTTCCAGGCCCAATCATCATAGCCCTCACCATTGAACTTCTTGACGGTGAAGTTTTTCAGCACCTCCTTGATCAGCGAGCCCTGGCTTGTTCGCGCTCCCTTTGGCGCAGAAACACCAGAATCATGGCTGCCGCTACGATCTTGGGCTGAAGATTCACCAGCTACCGCCGAGGTGTTCCCTGCCATAGCTATCTATATCGAGGGTCACTATAACGCAGCTCTGATACCAGCTTGTTGGTGTAAAGGGCCTAATAAACTCAAGCTATTTTGACCTTATCAAACTTAAAGCCTCTCCTCGGGGTCACCTCCAAGGTCCTTGGATGCCTGGTACAAGACCAGCCCCTATCCTTGGGTCCGAGTTTGTAGAGAGAGGGATCAAGAGGGACTTAGTCAAAGCAGCAAGAGTACCTTGAACGTCGCGCAGCGTATCGTGCAGACCGTCGATCGGATTAAGCTGAGAATTTCCTATATCGAAGCTCACTCTAAGAGCTTTAAAATAAGCCAAGTTGCCTCGCGAAAAGTTCTGCCATTACAAAGTTATGGCTCGGACAGCGTTTGCCTAGTGTTGGAGTGCTAACGTACTAGCGTTGACTCGGGTAGCATTCCACCGTCGCACCGCGTAGAAACGAAATTCCAGGAAGGGAGGAATTCGCTTGAATCAAATTAACTATATTCAGGTACAAACAGAGAAAGAATAAATAGTTCTAGCTAGCAAGGACCTTGGGAATCAACCTGGGAAGAACCAGGGATGATCCCAAATAATTCCAAGCAACAGAACCAACCTGGTTGGACAAAACAGCAGGTGGTAGGTTGGTAAACAACCTCTGGTTCTGTTTTTCCAACCTGGGAAAACAACAACCAGGTTCAGGTCCTAAAAACAGAACCTGTTTTGTCTTTGCCCAACCAGCCAAATGCTGGTTCCGCTGGTTTCCCCTGGCCCTGTAGCATGCAGATACAGACAAACAGCATCCAACCTTCACCTAAATTGTACCCCTATAGTGCCTGCCCTGCTACACTATAGTCAACCAAACAAAATAGTACAATTTCGAGTTGGATAGAACTGAATCTGCGCAATCAAGTAAGTTGAACCGCAAAGCTTCCATCTTGGGTTCCTTTGCAAGCTCGTCCTTTCTGCTTGTACTGTTCATAGCGCGTACAATGTTATGCCGAAGCGCACATTGTGCGAGTACCTGCAAATGCTTCAAGCGAAAATTGCGAAAGCAAACAAACACACGAACATACCATTCACGCGCAAATGCATTCGCACACGCATACTCGTACAAACAGACGGCAGGATGTCGTGCAATGTGAATTTGCACCCAACACATAGCGCGTACAATGTTATGCCGAAGCGCACATTGTGCGAGTACTTGCAAATGCTTCAAGCGAAAATTACGAAAGCAAACAAACACACGAACATACCATTCATACCCAAATGCATTCGCACACGCATACTCGTACAAACAGACGGCAGGATGTTGTGCAATATGAATTTGCACCCAACACGTTCTGCTGCGGCGAGTCTGGAAGCGTGTAAGACTGGAAAATCCCCCGAACGTGACAGAACGTCTCCAGGCGAGTGGAAGAAAACTCACCACCACGGTCCGAGTGTAGGCGGATCCCACACAGGCGCTGGACGCCACCCTTCACTAGTAGCTACGGCTGAAGGACGGTTGGCACTTCGGCCTTCCGTCGTAGGGGGAAACCCGTAGTGTAGCGGGAGTAGTCATCCACTATAATCAGGAAGTAGCGCTTCTGACGTGGGCCACGGACCGGGGGGGGGGGGGGCAGACGTCCAAGTGCAGGGTCTGTAAAGGAGCCGTGGTGGGGGGGAACGAGGAGTGAGGGGCAGCACGCTGCCGACCTTCGACGCAGGGAGTGCACAGCGGCACAGGCGAGCGAGGATGCGCGGCAAGCGACTCTGGGAGACCTGAGACCAGACGGTGACGTACCATCCTACTAAGACGTGGGAACGACGGGTGACCAAGACGGTGGTGCCGGAGGACCGATGGGTGGGTGAGTGACCAAAAGTCGCACGACACAGCAGCTACCTGACCTGACCTGACCTGACCCAGTGTGGTGGGATCCAATGTGTAGTAAGTACAGACCAGAGCCCGGCTCCCTGTGGAAAGTAGCTAGAGGCGACCAAGTGGCACCGACTGTGTGGGAAGCAACAGGCTCGTACAATGGAAAAGTGCCCTTTGGAACGTCGTGTTCCAGGAGGAGGGTGGACTCCAGCCTTTCGCCCCTCTCGCCCCCACCGGACCTGCTCCCGACGAGCCCGGATACGAGCCCGAGTCCGCTAGTGATCCTCCCTCCTTCGCGCCGGATGTCAACAACCCACAGAGTGTGGCGACCGCCATCCGTGCCTACCGCACCACACTCAACGACCACCTTCGCCGGCAACTGCACTATGAGGACGACAAGCGCACCTACGACGACGCTACTGCCCGCTACCGTGAATACCAATCCCGGCTCGCCACTTACACCATACGCCTCGCCACCCACGCCACTGACATCGCTGCGTGGCGTGTTGCTGATTGTCGAGCTCCCGCCATTCTCCTCACCACTATCCCCTCCTCCCTCAAACAAGAGCTCTCACCTACTTCATCCTTCCACCATTGGCAACTGCTCGTCGACCTCTTCGACACTCAGGATATCACCACTCTCTGTAAGCTCATCAAGGGATTCGGGTCCCTCACCATGGATTCCACCGCCGGCGCAGCCGCCTTTTCCCGCCGCGTCCTCGACCTTGCTCGCCGCCTTGCAGCATTGGGAGTTGTTTACCCTGACATTGTCATCTGCTGCCACCTCCTCCAGGGTCTCACCCCTGCCTTCGATGCCCACAAGCTAGCATACATGCAGCTCCTCTCCAAGCATGACACTCGCGCTCAAGTTGCACAATGGATCATCACCACTGAAATTGAAATCCTTCGCCACTTCTCCTCCACCGCAGCAGCTGCACAGCAGCACAGCAGCAACGGCGGGCGTAGGGGTGGGCGTGGAGGCGGGTGTGGTGGTTGGTGAGTCGGCTCCACTCGCGGTGGAACGGGTTGTGGTGCAGCAGCAGCGGCCTTCCTACCCTGTTAGTATCTTCCCTTCTATGGCCCTACTCGAGGCCAACGCTGCAGCCAAACCACTAATGCTCCACGAGATCGTGGAGGAACCAGGTGCGAAACCCGTCTCACGTGCACCATACCGACTGAGTCTGACCGAACTGGCACACATGAATAAACCGATAGAGTATATACGAGACAGACAACTGATTCGCCCATCCACCTCTCCCTACGGTGCACCAGTTCTCTTCACTCCAAAACCAGACGACCGTTTACGAATGTGCATCGACTCCCACGCACTAAACAAACAGACAGTTAAAAACAAATATCCCATACCGCGAATAGGCGACCTACTGGACCAACTGCGTGGTGTAACAGTCTTTTCGAAGCTGGACCTACGGTCGAATTACTGGCAGATCAAGATGGCGGACAACTCGATCCACAAGATGGCGTTCCGTACCAGAAACGGCTTCTACGAGTACTTAATGATGCCGTTCGGACTCTGCAATGCACCAGCGACGTTCCAGGCGGAGATGAACCATATCCTACGGCCCCTGCTGGACGAGTGCGTGGTAGTGTACCTGGAAGACATTCTCATCTACTCTAAGAACATGAAGGAGCACGTGGAGCATCTGCGGAAGGTGTTTGAGATCCTGCGGGAAAACAAGTTCTACTTGAAGCTATCGAAGGGCGACTTCTCCCTGAAGAAGGTACAGTTTCTCGAGCACATGGTGAGTGCCAAGGGCGTACACGTGAACCCGCGGAAGATCGAAGTCGTCAAGAAGTGGAAAGTACCGGAGAATGTGAAGAAATTGCAACAGTTCCTAGGCTTCGCCAACTACTACAACAGGCCCGTGCCGCAGTGTGCTAAGATAGACTACTGGAAAAGAATACGCCCTACGAATGGGATACTCCTCATCAGCAAGCCATGGAGCAGCTACAGACAGCACTAACTATAGCACCAGTTCTCATCTTACCGGATCCACAAGGACTACGTGACGGAAGCAAATGCTAGTGACCAGGCAGTCAGAGCAGTACTGATGCAGGATCACAGACGCAGTTTGCAGCTCATCGCCTACCTCAGTAAGAGTTACATGGAGCAGAACTAAGCTACCCTCTCCATAACAAGGAAGCCTTTGTGATAGTCATAGCCTTCAAGGCGTGGATGTGTTACTTAGAGGGAGCCAAGACCACAGTTGGTACAGAACACTGCAGTCTCAATTACCTGAAGCCGCAGCCGACGCTCTCTCGACAACTACCACAACGAGATCGTCTACAAACCCGGGCTACACAACAAAGCAGACGCGTTGAGCCGCACCGGTCATGTAGCAGGCATCTAGCTCGACGGAATGAACCCTCTGCTCTAGGGTCTATTCCAACATAGGTACTCCGTAGACGCAGAGATTTCTACAGCAGAGAAACAGAAGCTGTTACAGTGGGAAAAAAGACTTAGCTGTAAGGAAGGGTTCGGAAAGATTTGAGTACCGCTACGGCAGATCCTTTTAGAGGAGTTTCACGACGTACCATACGCGAGACATTTCGGGAGCAACAAGACGTTAGCAGGGATAGCGAAGAATTACTACTGGCCTGGGATGACAGCAGACGTGCAGCATTTCATCACCTTCTGCCACACGTGCCAACGGATGAAGAGTAGCAAGCAGAAAAAAGCAGGGTTACTTCAGCCTCTACCTGTACCAGAGCAGCCGTGGAAGGTCGTTACTCCTATATGTAATTATAGTTATAGCACAGAACCAGGTTACTTGTACCGAACTCAAGCCTATTCTGTTTCCACCCAATTGTTTTCTACCGAGTTCGGGAAGATTTTGTTTGGGATGATTCGCGACAATCAGAACATTCGTGTAACACCTGGGTTGCCTTCCTTGTGTCGAGCCTATATATAGCCTCGTATTGTACCCAGGTGGATCATTCAATTCAAACTCTCTTTCCTGAGCTCGATCCTAGATCCTCACAACTCAAGCTTGTCGCCCCTCCCACCCCCACCGGACCTGCTCCCGACGAACTCGGACCCGAGCCCGAATCGCCTGGTGATCCTCCCTTCTTCGCGGCGGATCTCACAACCCACAGAGCGTGCACACTCGCTGGCAACTGCGCTATGAGGACGATAAGCGCACCTACGACGACGCTGCTGCCCGCTACCGCGAATACCAATCCCAGCTCGCCACTTACACCATACGCCTCGCCACCCACACCACTGACATCGCTGCGTGGCACGTTGCTGATCGAGCTCCCGCAATTCTCCTCACCACTATCCCCTCCTCCCTCAAACGAAAGCTCTCACCTACTTCCTCCTCCCACGAGTGGCAACAACTCATCGACTTCTTCGACACGCAGGACATCGCCACTCTCTATGCGCTCATCAAGGAATTCGGGTCCCTCACCATGGACTCCCCCGCCAGCGCAGCCGCCTTTACCCGCCGCGTCCTCGACCTTGCTCGCCGCCTTGCAGCATTGGGTGTTGTCTACCCTGACATCGTCATCTGCTGCGACCTGCTCCAGGGTCTCACCCCTGCCTTCGATGCCCACGAGCTAGCATACATGCAGCTCTTCTCCAAGCATGACACTCGCACTCAAGTTGCACAATGGATCATCACCACTGAAGCTGAAATCCTTCGCCATTCCTCCTCCACCGCAGCAGCGGCTCAGCACCGCAGCAGCAAGGGCGGGCGTGGGGGTGGGCGTGGAGGTGGGCGTGGTGGTGGGTGAGGCGGCTCTGGCAATCGCGGTGGCACGGGTCGTGGTGCAGCAGCGGCCTTCCCACCCTGTCAGTATCTTCCCCTCTGTGGCCCTACTCGAGGCCAACGCTGCAACCAAACCACTCATGCAACTGACACGTGCTTCAAGGCACTTAGTGATGAGTGGTTCGCTTGTGGGAACTCTGGCACCCCCCCTCACTGGTCCGCCCTCAGCCCCCGCCCCACTGGTGATCAGAGTGCCCCAAAACCAATATGAGGAACCCTTGGTGATCAAGGTGCCCCAAAACCAATCTGAGGGCAGGCCTAAGTCTAAGCCTAACTCACTATCTCAACACACTCTACTTTATTTGCATTCCAATTCTGTGTCACACAACATACTTTTCAACATTCGAGCACGTACGTTATCTGTCAGAATCCCAGTCACTAGACCACTGGGATAAAAGAGCTTGTTTGTGTAGCGGATCAGGGCGCCCATAACCCCTTAGGCGAACGCGCCTGTAACCCTTCCTTAGGACCATCGGGCATTTCCAGTGCTGGTCTCTGACACCCCTGCACATAGGGATTCTCGAGGAGACGCCACAGCATCAACGGTGCCTGCATGTGCATACATGGGGATTCAAACCCGAACCTTCGCTCTGATACCATGTCAAAATCTCGGTCACTAGACCAGTGTGATAAAAATGGCTTGTTTATATAGTGGGTCAGTGCGTCCATAACCCCCACAAGAACGCAACCGTAACCCTTCCCTAGGATTATCGGACATTCTCATACTAATCTCTGACACTATCCAATACTTGCATGCTTCAGCTGATATCATTCAATTCTCATCTCAATTAATTCTTTGCCTATTTCGTTAAGACTTTCTTCCCCAAAGTCTTCCGCTGTGTTTCGTCCTCAATATAGTCAACCCCACAATTATATTTCTATATGTGACTTGCTTCGCCAAAGTCTTCCGCTGTGTTTCGTCCTCAATATAGTCAACCCGACAATTATATTTCTATATGTAACTACATATTGAACTAGCTAGTGTAGTATCACATTAGACATCTATTGTTGGTGGTATATGTCAACGGGAGTCGTGTGTTGGCTCCGTCCTCGCTTGGGCGGAGCCGACTTCGTGGTCGGGTGTGAGGGGAGCAGTCGACCTGCAGCAGCGGGCAAGCTGGTTGACGAGGAGGTCGATCTGCACAAGGGCCACTGCACGAGCGCTGACTTCAGGGTGGCGCCGACTTTAGGGAGGTCGACCTGGGAAGTCGACCTGCGGAGGGCGTCGACTTGGTGGCGCCAACTTGGGGCAGACGACTTGGGTGGTTGGCTGACTCGACTGTGGCCGACCTGGTGGTTGGTCGACTAGTCCTGCTGGTCGACTTGGTGGTGGTTGACCAGGCGTGATGTCGACCAAGTGGTCGACCTGACCTGGTGGTCGACGGAGGAGGGGCCGACGTCGACCACAACTCAGGACGCCGAGCAGCTGGGCGTCGAGTATCAGGGCGTCAACTTGGTGACGCCGACTTCGATAGCCGACTTGGGTGGTCGGCTGAAAACAGCGCTGGTCAACGTGAAGCTGGTCGACCAGGAGTGACGTCGACCTGGAGCTGGTCAACCAGAGTTGTGTTCGACTTGGTGAGGTCGACTTGGGGTGGTCGTCGACTTGGGAGGTCGACGGGCACATACACGAGCAGCTGGTCGACGTGGTTGCCCGGTCGACCAGGTTACCTTGGTGACAAGGTTCTGAGGAGGAGTGCGACGGTCGCCCAGGCGATGTTGGCTAGACCGACCTCGGTGGTAGTATCCCGAGGTTGACATGGCGAATAAGGTGCAGCCATCAGCACGCCGACTTGGTGTGTGCGTTGTGCAGGTCACAAGGTTCAGCACGCCAATCATCTGGGACCACCTGCGAAGCTGGTGAACAGCTGTTCTGCGGGAGCAACGTTGGCACGCCGTTAACCTGCAGCGCTGGCACTCTGCGACTTTGCACTGCTGGAGCGCGGTCGACCAAGTCGTACAGGAACGCGGTCGACCATCCTGCGCTGGCAATCGACTAACCTGAATGCTAGCTCTGATGTAGTCCTGTCTTGCAAACCTGATTGTACCATTGTTGGCGCCGGACAGGATCTTGATCACCCCGCCGCTCGTCGGTCGACCGAACATACTCACCTGGAAGAAAGCTATCGAGCCCCAGCTGGAGATGGCCGGGCTGGTCGGCTTCACCGGAGGGACCGTGGCGACGTCGGGGGAGCACCACTTCGACTTGCGCGCGGAGTTTCATGCCGTGCAGTTGTTGACCTTCATGGTCATCTCGTGGTGCTGCTCGCCGGGCGTACAGGGAGTACCTTGACGCCGGCCACCAGGCGTGGCACTTCATCGAGTCGACCTACCAAGTCACCGACAACTTGTTCAACGCCCAGCTGGAGGGGAAGCTAACGCACCTGCGTATGGCGACGAGGAGACGGCGACCGACTACTACAACCGAGCCCGGCGAATTCTCGCCACCATCAGGATGGCCGGCGCGCAGTACTCGACCGCGTCGTACGTCACCCACGTCATGCAGAGACTCTCGAGCAGCTACAACCTCTTGAAGCGGCTGTCAATGGCGCCGAGCACAAGGGCGACGCTCAACGAGGACAACTTGACCTCGTACATCCTGCAGGACGAGGAATGCAGGAGGCTGAGCGGTCCGAGGAGCACTTGGCGCAGGCGCACTTTGTCGCCCCGGCGAAGCAGGGAGGTCGATCGGGGCAGCGCGGACAGTCTGGCGGTAGTGGTAGCAGTGGCCGGAAGCCGGCCAAGGAAGTCAACAAGAAGAAGTCGACCAATGAAAGGGGTCGAGGGGGAGGAGGTCAACGTCGGGAGAGCTGGTTGTGCAACAACCCTGACCACCTCTCGTTCGAGTGCCCCGACCGCAGTGACTCCGACAACGACGACGCCAAAGGAGGCCGCGGCAGGTATGGGAGCCGATGTCCTCGTCAAGGAAGGAACAAGCCGCGCAAGGAGACGCAGTCGTCCAAGTCGACCTCGGTGAAGGACGCCAACTCCTCTATAGGCGGCAAGGCACGGGACGACAAGACGGCGTCCTGCTCGCTGGTCGGCGTCGTGGAGACGACCATCTCGCTGGCGCCGGAGGCCGGGGAGGACTTCCAAGCGGTGGCGGCAGCTGTGGAGGCAAACCCGGCGGTGGTCCTGCTCGACAGCGGCTGCTCCCACCACCTGATGGGGACGAAGGAGGTCTTCGTCGACCTGCAGCCGAGCGGCAACAACAAGCACGTGCACGGCATCAATGGGACGCTGCAGGACGTCTAGGGCCGCGGCACTGTTGCCCTGCAGGGGGAGGCCGGGAAGCAGGTGCTCATCCTCGATGTGTTCTACGTCCTGGGTGTGCGAGCGAACTCGCTATCGGCCGGCCAGCTGAAGGAGCACGGCGTGAAGATGCAGGAAGACGGCGACGGGATGGTGCTCGTCTCGGCAGTGGAGGAGGTGCTAGGTCGGGCGACGTACTCCGGGCGTGTCCTCTGCACTGCCCTGCGTCCCTGCTCAACGATGTCGACGTCGCCCACGCCGGAGGTCGTGGCTCTGCGGGCGATCGTCTCTAGGACGAAGTCGACGCCGGACCGGCTGCATGCGAGGCTTGCACACGTCAGCGTGGACACCATACGGAGGTCGGCGAAGCACAAGGTCGCCAGTGGTCTGGACCTCAAGTCGTCCTCGGGCGCCCACTCACCGTGTGTCTCGTGCATTGGCGGGAAGCTGGCACGGCACACCTTCCCCGACCAAGGCTCCGGCGCCGACGACGTGCTGGCCGTCGTGCACATCGACCTGTGCGGGCCGTTCTGCGTGGCTTCCAAGGACGGCAGCTTGTACTTCTTGCTACTGAAGGACCGCAAGACCCGCTTCGTGTGGGTGAGGCTGGTCGCCAAGAAGTCGGATGTGCTGCTGGAGTTCCACAAGTGGCTGGTGTTGGTGGAGAGGCAGGTGAAGAAGCTGGTGCTGATGCTGCGCTCAGACCGCGGAGGGGAGTTCATCGGGACGAAGTTCACCGACTTCGTGGACGGCAAGGGGATCGTCCACGACCTTACCTGCCCGTACACCCCGCAGCAGAACGGCATCGCGGAGCGGGAGATGAGGACGGTGGTAGAGTCGGTGCGGACGATGCTGCTGTACATGGGCGTGAAGCGCCAGTGGTGGTATCTCGCTCTGCGGCAGGCCGTCTGGGTCCGCAACTGCCTTGAGAGATCGACGCTGCTACCGGGGACGACGCTGTACTAGCTCCTCAGCGGGACGAAGCCCGACATGTCGCTGGCACGGGTATGGGGCTGCATGGCACAGTTCTTGGTTCCCGAGCAGCAGCATGGTGGGAAGTTGAAGCCAAAGGCCAGGTGGGGCCTTCACCTCGGCGTGTTGGAGGCGAGCAAGGGCTAGGAGCTCCTCGACATCCCCGACAACCGGGTGGTCATTACATCAGACGTAGTGTTCTACGAGGATATGTCACCGGAGGTGTGGAAGTCGGAGCACGGGCCGGTATCAGGACGGACGCCGACCACCCCGCCGACCGACACCTCGACGGCGACGCTGCGCCTGTTCGCCGAGGTCAGTGAGCTTGCTAATGAGGACGCCGAGGTCGTCCGTCCTCCTTCCTCTGCCCCTCCCCTCATGGCTGACATACGCGGGCTGACTCCTATGTCAGCCTCCGGCGATGAGGGGAGTAGTGGGACGTCGCCATCGGCACCGGCCAAAGGTATCGCCGGTGGCCGACGTGACGACGGCAAGTCGACGTGGGAGTGAAGTCGACGTTGATAGGGAAGGAGCAGGTCGAGGAGGAGCAGCCGACCTGAGTGAAGCCGGCGAAGAAGACACTAGCAGGGCAACAGCCGACAGGGGAGCAAGCTGTTGGTGTAAGGGCCTAATAAACTCAAGCTATTAAGACTTTATCACACTTAAAACCTCTCCTCGGGGACACCTCCAAGAGTCCTTGGGTGTGTTGGGTGCAAATTCACATTGCACGACATCCTGCCG